ACGGTGGATCGTGTAGGAAGAGTCCCGATAGCTTCAGTTTCTTCTGTCTATGTCGAGCTGGTTACAGAGGAAACCACTGCGAGGCGGTTACGGACTCTTGCAGGCCGAATCCTTGTCTCTATGGAGGTTTATGCGTAGGAGAAAAACCTGGGTAAGCATTTTTATCGACCATGTAACACGCGACACTCGACTACATATCCTATCGTTCAAAGTTTATCGACGATCAACGTTCCAATTCAGGTACACGTGTAGTTGTCCAGAGGGTCGTTACGGAAGACACTGCGAACGATCCACGTTTGGCTTCGAGGAATTGTCTTATATGACTTTCCCAGCCTTGGATTCCAACACCAACGACATAACTATCGTGTTTGCCACTACGAAACCAGATGCCTTACTGCTGTACAATTACGCGCCACAAGCCGGAGGACGTTCAGACTTCGTGGTATTGGAACTGGTGGACGGAAGAGTGGTGTTTTCATACGGAGGTGCAAGAAGCGCCATCACCTCGGTCACCATAAAAACGGAGAACTCCGTGTCGGACGGAGAATGGAGGAAGGTAACGGCAACTAGAAACGGCAGGGTCGTGTCCTTGAGCGTGTCCATGTGCAGAGAACACGGAGATATCTGCGACGATTGTAGACCCGGTGATGGCACTTGCTACGCGGACGACGTAGGACCAACCGGGTTAGCATCGCCTTTCGTTCTTAGTTATTCGTTTTCGTGAACGTGAAAATCGTCCGACTAAACATCGACAATCGCTTTCTACAGGACTCTGAATTTTAACAACAATCCACTTCTGGTGGGAGGACTGGAAAACGCAGATCCGGTGCTCGAGAGGCCAGGCCAAGTGCATTCCGACGATTTCGTCGGCTGCGTCCACTCGGTTTCCATAAATGGAAGGGCATTGAATCTGTCGAATCCGCTGGCATCGCGCGGCGTTAAGTCCACCTGCATCAGATCGAACAACAATTCTTGCTCGAGAGGTGGAAAGGACTCGGGCAGCGTTTGCGGCGCGAATTCCAAGTGTTACGACAAGTGGCATCAAGTGACCTGCCAGTGCGGATCTGTAACCGCGCCCAATTGCGAAGCAGCTCTCGAATCGATCACGTTGAGCGAGGGTGGATACGTCGAATTTAAAGTACGCGCAAACTGTTAAAAGCGAGCTTTGAATTTTAATTCCCAGTCGAGTAAGACGACCAATCGCGAATAACCGTCTTTTCGTCGTTTGCAGATCTCGGAGAAACACAGAAGAATGCAGTTATTGGAATATCTTTACAGAGGCTCGACCTTGTGGCATAAGAATCGAGCGAAACGCACCGTCAGCGAAGACACCAGCTTCATAACCAATCCATCGCCCTTTAAAACGATCGGTTTGATGTTCAGAACGGTGAAGCCCGATGGTGTTCTCGTGTATGCCGCGACCAACAAACACTTTACATCGGTAGAGGTGAGCAACTCTTTCCTCAACGATATTAGAAAAAATTCCCAGATTAGAAAAAGAAAAGACAATCCCCTTCCTTCTTTGTTTCTTTTCAATTCACGGCACAAATCTCGTGTTACAGCTTCGCAACGGGCAACTATTTTACGCGTCTCTTCTCGGATCGCCAGTGAACATGACCGCGAACATCGAAGGAGGCTTGGCGGATGGCCGTTGGCACAACCTGACCCTGCACTCTTACTTTCGAGGCTTAAGGCTGTTCGTCGACGGCGTTCAAACCGGCGAGGAATTAGACCCTGTCGGTGTCCACGACTTCCTGGACCCGTATCTATCCGTCCTATCGATCGGTGGAGTTAGCCAAGACCTGTATTACGCTCACAGCGCTGGCGCTAGGAGTTTCGAGGGTTGTTTGGCCAACTTCACCATCAACAACGAGATTCAGCCGTTCAACGGGTCCGGCTCGATCTTCAAGGAAGTGCTATATCACGCGAAGGTGAGCACCGGATGCAGAGGACCGATCGGAATCAGCGCAGCGGCCACTGCCGATCCTCTCAGCATAGGAATCACCCTGGTCATAGTGTTCTTCGTTATTCTGCTGATCGCTATACTGGTCAGTTTCATCGTATTCCGTTTAAGACGACAGAACAAGGAAAAGTCAGCTCCATCGGTGGTGAACAAAAATACCAACGCCATAATGACTGGAAATCCGTTGGTCGGCTCGGGTAACGATAATCTGATGTCTCGCCACGAAAATACCTATATATCCGACACGTCCGACCTACGGGGCGTGGGTCACATGGGCCCGGAATTGATCTCGAAAAAGTACAAGGAACGAGAAATTAACGCGACCACCGAACATCGGCCTCAGAGGCCGGACATCATCGAGAGAGAAGTAACGAAATCGCCACCCATTCGAGACGAACATCCTCCCCTGCCCCCGCCCGCTCAAACTTCCCTACATTCTCACGAACACAATCCAGAACCTGACATGCCCGAGCACTACGACTTGGAAAACGCGAGCTCCATAGCACCGAGCGACATCGATATCGTCTATCATTATAAAGGTTATCGGGATGGTATGCGGAAGTACAAAGCCACTCCTCCGCCTATTAACAACTACGCCAACCATCATAAGCACGCGGGTCAGCAACACAGACACACCGGACCGTTCCCACCGCGCGCCTTGCCACCTCCGAACGTGAGCCAGCCGCCAGGACCGACCCAGAAACTGTTACAGAGCACGCCGTTAGCCAGGCTGTCGCCTAGCAGCGAGCTATCCGCTCAGCAACCGAGAATACTAACGTTGCACGACATCAGTGGCAAACCTCTGCAAAGCGCTCTGCTGGCCACCACGTCTTCCTCCGGCGGAGTAGGCAAAGACGCTTTAAACTCCAACAGCGAAAGAAGTTTAAACTCGCCGATCATGAGTCAACTGTCCGGATCAACGGCCAGTCGAAAGGCGCCTCAATCGAACAACGAAAATTCCGTGAACAACGTATCTTCCGGACCGATGGGATTAACAGCGGAAGAGATCGAAAGACTGAACTCGAGGCCAAGAACCTCGAGCCTCGTGTCCACTTTAGACGCCGTAAGTTCCTCCAGCGAAGCCAGAGGACCGCCCACCCACGGTCCTCTGCATCTCCACCGACGACACACGCCACCGGTCGAGAGACTCGAACGAAGAAACTCGTCGACAACGGACGAAAGCGGCAACGACAGTTTCACCTGCTCGGAATACGACAACACCTCGTTGGTCGGTGACAAACGGTCGGACAATCCGTTCGCGAAACAAGACGACGAAGAAGTTAATCAACGAAGCAACGAGTCCTCCCAAACGACGAAACCACCCCTGCCACCAAATGTCAATTACGACGGTTTCGACAGCTCGTTCCGTGGATCTCTCAGTACTTTGGTAGCCTCCGACGACGACCTATCGACGCACATGGGAGGATTGTACAGACCGAACAATAGCGGATCGCCATCCACGACAACCACCGCGCTAAGTTGGGACTATCTGTTGAATTGGGGACTGAACTTTGATAGTTTGGTCGGAGTGTTCATCGATATCGCCGAACTACCGGACAGTGCCAATCGTGTTCCAAGTACGCTTAGATTACCAGCTAGTATACCTAAGCCATCCGAGGAATACGTCTGAAGAGTGTTTCAACGTCCATTATAATAGAATTGTTAGATAGCATAGTTCTTAGAAGGAGCTTAGAAGGAGCACAACGATGCCACTTTTTTTCTTTAGATCGAAGAAGATCGGCTAGATGAAAGGTACGCGTAAATAACCAAAATACCATCGCGAATGGAATACGCTTTAATCGTCGATTGGATGAGCGACAAAAATCCTAAGGAGTAACGCGAGCGATAGAAGAACGAAAGTGGACGTTTTCTAGAATCGTAGGAACGAGCAGCGTCGTTACATTTTTCCTGGATTTTCCTGCCTCGTTCGATAGCTCAAGATTGCTGCTCTACGAAGAATGTAACCGTTATCTTGCCATAATAACAGAACTCGAGTTACGCCATGATTCGAGCATCGTCTCGAACTCGTCTGGACTTTATATCGTGTCGAGACGATATTGTGAATTTGTAAATAATCCGCGATTTTTTCAAGTGTACCGAGACTACCTTTATCGTTAGAAATACGAGCCACGATACGGCCGTGCTTTCGTCGAGTCTTAACGAATTTGTATCGCGTATCGACCTGACAATCGCCTTGTAACACTTAACTTTCGCTGTTAGCAACGAATTTCGTTACGACACTTCGACAATCGATGAGAAATGGAATTATTGTGCGACTGTATCGCCAACAATTATATAAATAACTATTATAAGTACACTAGGTTTCCTTGTATATAAATATTTTGAGACATTCTGTGCCAGATAATCTCGATACAGTCGCACAATACCAAACGATGATCAATTAAGTCGAGAGTGATGCGATTTTAAAAATAGAGAGAAAGGCATCGATCTTTTCTCTACGCTTTTTGCGTTCCTGATGGTAGGCGTCGATCGCGACGACTGCACAGCTACTCGTTCAACGTTCCGTTAAGATCGCTAAAGTAATCGATCAACTTGAAAAATTCGTTAAACGTCTCACTATACGCGGCTGTATTTTACAGCATTTCATCGAGAACGTTGAACAGAGTGTAATTGCCAGACTGATTTTTCCCACGAACTTTCGAAGCGTTATGATAGATTATACTACAATACCATCGATCGTCAAAATTTTGTAAATTACGCGAATTGCCCGTTGTAAATATCGTATGCCTGATCTGTACAAAATGTGTGAATGAGCCGCGTGTGTACTACTTTATCATCGATCGTATTTGTAATAAACAAGACATTTGTAAAAAAAAAAAAGAAAAGAGAGAGAAAAATTGATCATATTCTATTCCTTCCTACCTGAAGCTTTTTTTCTTAGAATATCCGACCGATTTTATACCGCACGACGATATCACAAACGCGAAGACATTCGACTGACGTTTCTCGTCCTGAACGTATTTCGAGTCCTCTATCGTTTCGATATTCGTCTCGAAAACAGGCCGATTAAACGACTTGATTCGCGAATCTACCAACGCAAACCAAAGATAATACACGTAGAACGGGATTGTATCGATACGTCTTTTAATCGTTTGCTAAAATATTACTCGATACCAGTTAGAATGTTCAGATAATGATATCTTCATTCCCGTCGTACGATGAAGAGCTTCTGAACAGCGCCTACGCGAACATAAGTCTAATCGCTGACAAAGTCTGGACCTTCGACAAGGAGGATCCCTTTCAAAAATTGAATCAATCTCTGTCGATTCAGGTAAAATACTCGTAAATTCCCTGAATCGTTCTGTTTGTCTTTCGATCGTTCCATACGCTAACCACCTACTAATAGAAAAATGCAAAGGTATTAACGATACGTCTTACGACAGAATTACAAATTGACCGCAAAGTACAAAGAGAATGGTACCGTCCATCGAACGAAAAGCGTACGCGATGTTATTCCTAACTCGCGTTTGGCCAGCTATGGCAATTACGAGTACAACGAAGACCGCGAGAACGCGTACAAGTCAGACGACAATTCAGGTCCTGTTTCGCTACCAAATTTCTGCTGGACGGAAGTTACCGAGCCGTGGATGCTACCGGAGGTGGAGAAGCACTTCGCCTGGTTAACGTCGAGCGGGCCGCGTACGAATCGTGAATTGTTAGCTTTTACACTTAAACGTTAGCAAATGATTCGCTGTGATCCAATACTCGATCGTTCTGTGTTAACGTTCGCGCGGAAGATCGATGCTGCAAAGCTCGGCAACGAGGATATCGGAGCCCGACGACGAAGTATCGAAGATGGTATGCGGCTACAAGTCGCATTGGGAAGATTGTTCGCACGGTCGACACGCGCAGAGGTTCAGCCAGACGGAGAAGAAGAACAGAACGAACCACGAGTCGAGCAAAGAAGCGAACCTGATCGGTAACACGGTCGCGATCAACCAACAACGTACGACATCCTTCTTTTTTCAAATTCGCCAGAATAACTGGCTATATTCCCTGCTAGAAATTCTATTCGATTGTCGCTAATTTAAAAAAAACGATGTCTGTCAAGAATCAGATGCTACGGAAAAATTGGACAGTTATTACGAGTATCAACGTTACACCATCGAAAATTCAATGGAGATGCAGCTGCACATTCGCGTAACTAGCGACGCGGTTCGAAGCTTATGGAAAGCGGGCGGCAGCAACGTTCATCAACAATTCCTTCAACAGAGAATGCGCTTGCAGTGTTACAAGCTACAACAATCTCGAGAGCAGAATTGTCAGGGCAAGCAACAATTCTATTACGCGGTTCAATATCGACCACTGATACTTAGGACAGAGTGCCAAACGGTAAGGACGGAAACTTATGGAACGAGGAAACATCCGCCGCCGGTTCTCAGCCCGGAAGTGCCGGAATTTTTCCCCAAAGTTCCGGTAACGCGATTCAACAGCAACAAGGAACAGAACGTTAATCGTATACAATATTTTCCATCCCTTAACGAGCGAAGTTACCAAAACGAATTGTTTCCTTACAACAGGACCTATGAAAATACCGCAACTATATACCAGGTTTAAAATCCTAACTTGCTCCTCTAATGAATGTCTCTAATTACTTACGAAAGGATAATCGCCTCTGGTTTCGACGATCTAGAAACGAATTGTATTGTCGGGAGCATGATACTGAACGACACGCTTCCACGAGTATTATCATCGCTCGGCCTTAGTTTCCCGGATATTCGCAAATATATTCCCAGAACATAAACGCAGGGTTAGATAGTAATAAAATAGAAATAAAGTAGAATAGTTTGGGTGAACAAGCGATTAGTTAACTAAGGAACTACAGTGAGACACGTATGATAAATATAGAAGGTCGAACGAAAGAGAGAATTCCATTTTTAGATTCGCGAGATTGAAATTTGATAAATGATAATAATGATATTCTCGAAATATATTCGATACTATACAGGGTGTTGATATTATAAAAAAGTTACGTTTTCGGCTTTGTTTTTCAATTACTGGCAATTGAAAATACCCCTGCACGCGAGCAAACCTTCTTGCACGAACGAAAGAAGGTTAGCCTATGCAGCGTGGTGGACAGTGATCCCTGATCGATCAAAGACAGGATAACTCGCGAGTCTCTTCCGTATTTACACTCTTATTCCAATTATCGTTACACGTGGCAGGAAATTTAAAATGAAAGCAAGAAACTTCGGAAGTATTCCTGCGTGTAACTCGGAAACTAAGAACCAGACTGTAACATATATAAAGAAATTTAAAGACAAGTTGTTCACAATCGTGTCCGCAGAAAACGTGTTTCAAGATCGTCGAAATCAGTGCAGAGTATACCCTATCCTTTTGCAAATAATATAAATAATTACCTTCTGCTCTATCGCTGGTAGCAACTTCATACTCTATAAAGCAACCCTAAACTTTTGGCGTGCCAACGCTCGCCCTAGAAGAGAATAGAGAAACGCTTGTGAATTTCAGAGTACGGGTATACCTGTGCTATCAGCTACCGACACGAGCACGTTTATCAGACCTCCTCAACAATGGTATCAGAGGATTCCACCGCAACCGACGCAAATACAAATATCTGGCTCTTCGTCGACCCCAATGTGCACCTCCGTGCAACCATTGCGAACTGCTACCATTACTCATCATCCCGTACAGGTGGAAAATGAAGAGTCGTTGCGAACGGATATGTGAATCCAAAGTAAAGCTAAACATTGATCGAAGGTAATAATATTGCAGGTGCAAGAGAAGTTTTTACAATCGAATCCTATACCGATACCGGTGTATCAGCATCCGATAGAACTTTATCACGAAACGGGACAAAAGAGGAAAAACCAAGGCGTTGATTTTAAGAATTTGATACTATTGACGAGGAACGCGATGAAGACGCACCGCGGACAATCGAAAAGCTCGCAACACAAAGCGTCTTATCTGATGGAAGGGAAAAATCGAGGTTGCAAATCGGAATCGGAAGTCCTTCAATGGCTGGATAAAAGTTGCTCGTCGAAAACGAAGGAACTCGCTGGCGGCAACACTCTGGTAACGGAATTGAGGAATTTTGACGGCAGAAGCGACAAAAAGACTTCGATTGGCAAAAGGGAGAAGGACAACGCGAGAATCGGCGAACGAATAAAACCAGAGGTACAAGGATCGAAGGCAAAGTCGATCAGCGAAAGGGATAAAAATGATACACGAAACAGAAGAAGGCTTTACAGAGACGTGTTAACCAATGCTTCCGCTAACCAAGCTACCTTGGAGAACGTGTTCGAGAAAAGGTATAAGCAGTCGCTATTTAATCTACAACGGTTCATAAAATAAATTCCATTGAGCCGTAAAGTTAGGCAATATATTACACGTCTGTTTCGATATGTGATAATTATTATCGCGGATTTTTACGCATTTCTGTATCTTTTAGAGCGCGTCTAAAGAAATGGAATTTGAATAAATGTTTGTTTCATCTACCAAATATCCTAATAAATACTCTATCGTGTCTTTAAATTTCGCAAAAATGCATAAAAATCCGCAGCCTGGTGATAATAATTGTAATAATACAAACGTGTCCAACGCTAGATACGACGAATTAGAGCAGCAAGCAATGGAGCAATATAGAACGTCCGAGGAATCATTGGCGCTTAAATATCAAGTATAATATTTTATTCTTACGTTTACTTACCCCGAGTCACCGATCGCCTCGTCATTTACCACGCTTCAAATTTATCAACACATTTGCCAAATTACGAAAATTATTCGCACGCGTAGCTGAGACGCGTCTTTCCTCTACGACCATATTAACGACACTAAAATCGAAATGGTATTTCACCTGCGTGAGCGAGAGCGCCACGAAAATTTCGAAAGACGAACGATTTCGTTGTAGGAGCTCGAGAGACAGGCGATGGAACAATACAAGTGTTGTGGAGGAAGCGTACAGGAGGAAGCAGGAGTTTCGCGTGCGCTGATGGACGATAAAGACACCTGCGAGAGTTTTAAACGAAATTTTAGAGAAGAAAATTGCTACGATGGAGAGAAATGTTCCGGTTTTGGACGATGTAGTCCGATGAATACGGAAGAGAAGAAAGAAGGTTCTTTTACTGATTTTTCTTGTTAATTTGATATTGACAAAACGATATATCAAAAGGAACGTAGAATAGTAAATCAATCATTTATTTAATAATCGTAGATGATTTTCGGGAAAACATGGATTATTTTGTACAAACAGAAAACAATAATGAATGCAGTATCCCTGGTCGATCTTTGTCCGATAAAAATAGTCGATCGAACATTCTATCAAAAAGTTTATCTACGTTGTCTGAAGAAATATCTCGTAAATCGAAAAACACAGCTAAGGGTGCATCAGGTGATGAAATGAACAGAAATGGTAAATAGTCCGATTCGATAATCTCCTAACGTTAGAATTGAGATTTTAAATATAGTTTCCTTTTCCGTGATAAATATAACGAAACAATTATCCCAGTTTCAGTCCGGGCATCGTCAAAAAGGCGTCTGATACTGGTGTCACCCTTCGAGAAAGAATCAGAAGCCAAATTAACAAGATCAACCGATCTGGAAGAATTTTACTGTATAACGCAAGCGAATAAAAATATTTTCGGCTATTACAATAACTCAAAAGTGGGGAAAATTGGCGGTGGAGATGAGAATATAACTATCGTTCAATCACCCAGGACAGAAGGTATAGGTCCATTTGGAGATATGAAAATGGAAGAGATATATGTATAGTAGTAGCCTTTTAATATTTTTTCTACTAGTCTGGCTCTCAGGCTTTTGGACCACGTAAAGATGGGAACTTTAGGAAGATCAACGTGGAAGGAATGAACCTCAGCGGGTTAAATTCATTGAAAAACGCAACCATATTACATGAATGAATGTATTTAAATATTATAATAAATGCTTCTAAAATACTGTATCATATATATACATGTATGTATATTTCAATAAAAAATGACTTGATATTTTTCAGTTACTAAACATGCAAGCACAACCCGTTTCACGCAGACACATACACGTGATTTATTCTGTTCGTTAATTCATCTCTCACGACACAGAAGAACAAGAAGAGAGCAAGTAACAGCAATTATTCTAAATTATCGTTATTACTATAGTGGACTACATATTTAACCACTGAATAGTCTAAATAGTCTATATAAAATGTATCATCGTACGGTTGAGAAACCAGTTAATGGCGAATCTTATCGAATATGAACATAGTAAAAATGAAATGAGATAGCCTCTTCAGTCTTTAATTAAATATCCTTTATATAACTGACGAAGATCTTTCATGGTCAGATAATGAAAGTCAATGATTATCTTAGAAAGATACACGTAATATAAAATCGTAAAAATTTCTCTAAATGAAAATACAAATACTGAAGCGTTAAATCCTTGTAAAGTGTTTTTCTCAATGTTTCGGATTATTTTCTCTTTTTTCATATATCAGTAGATATATGTCGAAATTCCCACATGTAGTATTTAGATGTAAAAAAAGGCCTCTTCATTATAGAGATAGAGAATTTACATAAATTGTATAGAAACTCTGCTGTATTGAATATGCAAACATTACCCATGGTTAAGCTCAAATTCGCAACCAATACATATTTCATAGCAAAGTAAATTCGCAAATGCATCGCAATTTGAGATCATAAGTGACATTAGAAAATATCTAGAAATGTAGCTTAAAAAATGAATATTATCTAAAGAAATGTTGATCAATACCGTCATGGCATTACCGTTTTAGGAACTAAAATTGTACAAACGCGATTTAACGTAAACTTATATTAATAATTAGTAATAATATGTAGCAATTTAAATGTAAACGTATTTAGTATCTCTCACGTATCACGATATATCTACCAATTATCAAGAAATTCAAAACCAGTTTTTGGTATAGTCCTTTCTTCTTCTTCCTGATTCAATTGAGAAGATTGAAAACTACTGTAAGAACTAGGAGTCTCTAATAGCGCTGTTGACTCATTAATGTCACTTGATTTTGTACGTGACATAACCACTAATGTATTTGTTTGACTTTTATCAGTATCCGAATCCCTTTCCCTAACTAAACTTTCCATATCATCTGCCAAATTATTTTGTAATTTTAATAAAGACGTTTTGTTCATCAGTTTAGCAAATATACTTTCAGAATGATCGTTATCAACATTGCCTTTTAACAAACTGCTACACTGCTCATTCTCAAAGATATTACTTGAAAAACAATCAGATTGGAAGCGGTTAACCGTATGAGACGAAGTATAAGCATCGTTAAGAGAGTTTGAATTGTTTCTATGTGATTTCGCTGGGCTTGAGAAATGTGGTAACTCTCCAAATTGAGTTCTTATTAATTTAGATTTTGCATCCTCTGTTGAATCTATTATACTAAGATTCATCTGTGACTGAGTCATGAATGAAAATGGAGCTGAATGCTCATCACGCCATCGCAATGTCTATAATATCATAGTAAAGAAAATTTGCTTTAACTAAGAAGTCTTAACTTAATATTTTGAACTTGATCGCATATATATATTAAATCATAAATAGTAAAATATTTTACATTCAAAGTATTATATATTTATGATAGTCCAATATTAATCGATATTTGTATATTAAAGCAAAAATATATAGTTTATGACATAATATTACTATAAACTTATAAATAGTACTTACAGAACCAGTTTCATCGATAACATATTTCATTCCTGTCTGTATGCGTAGTTTCGGATACCACTCAGGTAATTCTCTAGTGACCTCATGCTTTTTCAAAGTATATTTTAATGCAACCTCTGGTTGAATGATAGTTTCATTAATTGCTTGATTCCGTTCTGCTATGCTTAATGTGTTCCATAGGCCTTCGTAAGCTTCCTTAGTTGCAGTTATATCTTCTCCTATCCTTTGTGCCAAAGGATTTATACTGTAGAAATATTGTTCAGCTCTTGAGCTTAATGTAGCACTCATAACGAAATTTTCAAACTAACGCGAAGAAAATATCTGCAATAAGAAGGAATAAGCTTCTGTCAAATACAAAATCAGATGATGGTAATATTATGTGATAAAAGAGTGAATCCAAAAATTGGCAATAGAGAAACCAGAATACAGGTTACGATACCATTCGAAAATTATTAATTACTGATAAATAGAAGATGACAAGGCATTCGAAACACAAAAAATTCAATTACAACGAGCATAAACTTTGTGAAATGAAACTATTAAATTATCTATAAACAGAACTATGTTTCACGCGCAGCTTACACATTGAATGACAGAACGTCACAATTATGCAGCGCATATGTGAATCCACACTAACACATGTTTTTACATTAAAATCTCTAAACTTCCCTCTTTTTTAAGATACATATCACTGATTATAAATTATTTGAGACATTGAAGACAAAAATACGTTAAAAATATGTTAAGATAAACATTTAAATTATTGAAACATGAAATTATGATTTGAAAATATAATTCACATACGCGATTATTCGTAATTATATTAAACGTTACAACATAACATTAAAATAGATAAAATTTAAAAAGTAAATAATTTATACAAATTATAACGCATATCATAAAAAACAATAAGTACTAATAGATAGATAAAATATGAAATTATCGATTGCAAAGTAAAGGAAAATATAATTACAATTTGAGACAACAATCAAGACACTCCTTGGCGACGTTTCTTAAAACTGCGATAAAAAATTTCAACCGGAAATGAAATCAAATCATAGTTTTATGATACAAATTATATTTACTTCCTCACTCTTTTTAATTTATTAATTCATATAACGTATTAATTCATATAACAATATAATTACTATTTATTGCATTCGGATGTGTAATAATATAATTAAAAAGTTTTTACAGTAATTGTTTTTAAATAATATTAATTAAGTGGAAACATGATATTTGATTAATAACAATAAATCTATATTAATTAAATATATTGTTTAGATAAATTTTGTAATATTTAAACTTGTCAAAAATAACCATTTCAATAAATATAGTAGTACATTTAGTATTAGAGTTAGTAATACATTCAGTATATTCGAATTTCTTTACTTTATACAAAACGTGAATAAATGTTTATAAATATGTATTAACTGGAAATAAAATGGGAAGGAATGTATATTAAATCATTCGTATATACTAGCATGTCTCCTAAAAAATTTATTTATGTTCTGTTTATTTAAAATTATAATAGGACAGTTCCATATCCTCCATTGGTTCTACAATACTATTTTTCAAAGCAATTAATAATGAAAATGAATTTTGAAGTTTCATGAATTATTTAAGAATAAAATTTGTTTAAACTTATATTCTTTATTGTAAACTTAGAACAATATAATGCCCCATTATTAGCTATATAACTAATTAGATTTCATTAAAATTATCATATATGTATATATATATATATATGCTTTACTTTTTTATTATCATACAAATATATACAATATTATTATTTTAAATCAGTTCTTGCGCGTTTTAGTAATCGTTTTCATTTTTTATAATTTAAACGGAACGGATCACTTATTTAAAAATATACACAGTACACAAAAAATGATAATTATTTACATACAATAATGTTTGAATAGGAATGACAATAAATAAAGATCGCTCATGATTTCATAAGAATAAATGTTCGCTGTTTAAGTATCACTTACGCAACTACTATATGGTATTTTTATAGAGTTTCAAGTTTCAAGTACAAACAAGCGTATGCTTTAACTGTAATCCTTTTTAAAAAATATATTTACAATCGGTATTACATCTCAATAGTGTGTACGAATATCGTTTAAACGAAATCGTTTGACAAAAAAATAATTAACTCTTATAGTTTCATTGTATTAACTCTGTAGGTTTTATAATTTATAACTCTTTCATTCAAAACACGGACGTGATTTAACAACACTGTATAATACAACTACTTACTGCCTGAAAAATCGGTTAAAATATCCAGGATAATTCCTTAGATGAACGAATCTAGTAATTAGGTACCTTCGTAATTTTCATAATGTATATGTTAATGTTCCCAATATCAGATTCAAAATAGTATATCACATATCGCAAGTGATACAAGATCACACAACGATAGTTTCTAATATTCATTCAAATGAATGATATTTTTGTCGAGTAAAACCAATGTGATTTTTCATTAATCTTAACGAGTTGCTTTTTTCTAATTTCAAGCAGCAGGGTTCTAATAATTTAATATGTTTGTATAACTTTATCAATGACTTTTGATACATTAATGAGTGGCACTACATTTGGAACTATTGTTTATCCATGTAGATTGTATCTTCGAAAAATTACTTCTGAAGAATACATTTGATGAGTTTCCAATCATTTAAAAAAAAAATATACTAATAATGGCGATGATTTACGCGCAACTTGAATCTCGCAACTTTCTCATAATATACTATATGATGTACATATACACTATCTTGTCATAATGATTGTGTATTTTAAATCTTCTTTTACATTACTCTAAATTAACACAAACACCTCTTCAGCTTTCGTTATAAATACTGTATTGCTTTAGAATTACATAAACTAACATTAGTAATATAAACAAAATAAAAAATGTAAAACTGCCCGAAATAACGAAGAACACAGATAAACTAAAAAGTGTCAAATTCATTATTATATAAAATTCTTAAATAAATCGAATTTGTGCCATCTAATTTATCTAAAAAATGAAAAGAATAAAAGCAAGTCTTTTGCAGTAAATAAGCAATGCAGTAATATTCATAATAAGCAACTCTTATTGTTGAAAATTATAGAAAGGCAAAAAAACATTGCACAAAAAACATAGATCAAATGTAAAATTGTCCACAGTTACCTGTTTGACAAATGTTTAAGAGGACCCAGACTTAGAATAGATGTAGCACCAAGCGCACCTAAATTACAAGTATTAGGATTTCGTGCACCGTCTATTGTAATTATAGGTAATCCAAAATACCCGCCCGTTTGAACACTTAGTTGTGACAACGGGATGTAGCTCTGTATACCAAGATTTGATAAACGATTCAACACATGGGGAGATTTCAAATCTACGACCGGTAATGCTAATTCTGCACCACCATTTTGTGCTACTGTGTCTACTTCTTTATGATACGCCTGTTTGTGCGTTGTTAGCGCTTGAGCTGTTGGGTATTGGGCAGGACAAAGATTACACCTAGTACCAAACATTATTATTATATATATAATAGTATTATAATTATTATCTAGGAAATGTACCCTATATTATTGTTGAAAGTATACTTACTTGTGAAGTAATTTGCTTGGTGCACGATGGGTAGCCATGTGTTGAGTTAGCATTTCCTGATTCTGGAAATTTTTATCACACACTTGACAAGTTAATAATGCTCTGTAACAATGAAGAATATTATATTATCGATAAATGTGGAAGAATCTTCCTTTAATTTATCTTACCGTGGAGGTCTTCCACGTCTAACTACTGGCATTTGTGGTGGGGTATCTTGCGTTAAATCTACGGTGGGAGGTCTCGGAGGTCTTTCCACTTCGTTCACAGCTGGTTTGTTTTGTTTATTGTGGGGAACAGCAAACTGACCCTGATCTTGCTGTTTTTTTTGTGAACTAGCTGGTATGATAGAAATAGCAGAATTCAGAGTGAGCGCTGTAACATTTAAAGGCTGCTGTGAAGATGTAGTCCTCTGTTGCTGGGGAAGTATCTGCTGTTTGTTTTGTTCACTTGATTTATTTTTATTTGCTGCTGGAGTAACAGTAATACCTCTGGCTGCCAGTACATTAGCCACAGCCTTTGCATCAGACTTCTTGCCCCCAGCACCTGATGTGTTCTGCACTTGAGCTGGAGCGGAACCTTTAGATTAGTAAAATATGTTCTTTTTATTCTTGTAATGCACCTCTTCCATGAATAGTTAAGTTTTCTTTCAGAACATATAATCAAACAAACATAAAAGTAAATTTAGAAAAACAAACATAGAAAAATGATAAAAATATCGAAACTAATCTTAGAAGAGGTATTTAGAATTAAATACATAAATTACATACAATAAAATATACATTAAGGAAGAAATATATAATCAAGTGTTAAAAGTACCTGGTTGTCTAACACTAAGAGTTATGGAATCCGTAAGATGTATAGTAGAATCATTTCTATTTGTTTGTTGAGTTGTAGCACCTTGAACATTTTGTATAACAGGCAGACCGTCATTTCTTTTTTGCTGTGCAATAACATGACAATCTGCATCTTCATTTCTATCTGGTAATAAAACATCCATCCGTCGTTGTTTCATTGCAGAGTTATTCTGCTGCACTTGCATTGATTGTTGCATAGGACGTTTCATACGTTGCCGCGGTGTTGATCCCGTTTGTGGAATCCTTGGTGCCCTGCAATACATACAATGCAAATTAAACTGCTTAATACTTTATTTGAAAGAGAATTCATCATGTTTCGTATCTTGTTTCATATCTTGTTAACTTTGATTAGAAACATATTACATGCTTTAACGATTATTTCATCAACAGTACTTGCCGACTATTTTGTGCAAGAGTCGGATACCTTCCACGTGAAATTTGCTGAGGCAATTGTGGATGCATTTGTGGCGGTGCAGTCATTTGTGGATATGGACCTGGCCCATACTGCGGATATAGGTGTGTTATATGAGGAGGATAATGCATGCCCTGTGGACCAGGAACTCTATACAACGGTGGTCTTCCTGATGGTTGTACAAAGTAATTTGGGCCAGGGATCATTGTATTAGCACCTGGTGGAAGACTTGGAGGCATTTGCGTTTGCGGAAGTGGCATACGTTGTACTTGTTGAGCTAGTTGTTGAACAGGTGCGGGTAGTTGTTCAAAATTCACAGGTGATATTATTTGCTGCCCAGCACTAGCTACTGCGTTATATGTAGGTGAATTTGTTTGATGAGGTGAAGTTAAAGGAGAATTCCTATTTATTTGTTGCGAGTTTGTTGTATTTGCAGATTCCATTGATACTGCATGAGGTGAATGTGTATTTAATTGCGGAGATGCTTGGCTCAAATGGGGTGAATTTTGATTCAAATGAGGTGAACTCGTATTTAGATGAGGAGACAATTGGCTCACGCTCGGAGAAAGGGGCGTTCCATGCATTTGAGCTTTATGCATGGAGACTTCCAATAGTGAATGAAAAATAAGATTTATACATTCCGGAATATTGCATTGATAATGTCCAGCTTTGCTCCGATGCTCATCTAAATGAGCAATATCTTTAAACTTTTCGTTGCAAACGCGACAAGTACTAACGGTCTCAGCTAACTTTTCAAGCGAAACATATTCGGTTTCCGAAGGTAAATTATTCGATAAGGTTTCATTTTGATTATGTCTTTGGTGCTCAATCAAATTTTGTAAAAGGGACCCAGCATTCTCAATATTATTATCACCCGCATTTTCTTCATTTTCTTTAGAATTCTCATTATTCTTATTCGATAAATTAGTTGACAGTTGATTCCAATTAAAACCAGTTGTGCTTTCGGTTGATTCTTCAGGTTTATCTTCATCTTCAGAACACACTGTTGTACAATCTGCTGTGTGGTTTGAAAACGTAGAAGACTTTGAAATAATATTAATGGCTGGATTCTCTGCTAAATCATGTATCATGTTTGATTCATGTCCTCTATCATCATCCTCTTCAATGCCTGCATTATCAATTAATCGACTCATAGATCTACATCTAAAACGTTAAATAATGAGTTATAGTAAGGATATTTCTCATTCGAGGATTATTTTTAAATACACAATATTACCCAGATTGTTCACCAAGTTTCTTGAGATTTTCAATTGTTTCTCTACATGTTGCTTCCAATGCATCTGATTCTTCATGATCTTCTGTTTCAGAGAGTCTTTTATCCGAATTATCATATTGATCTGTATTTTGTAGGTCATCAACATTTTGATCTTCCTTTTCAGATGGATTTGCCATATCACTTCCTACACCTGAGTCACTTTCATTGACATCTATGGATGGTCTATCATTTTCTTCCAATGGATTATGTTCGTCAGCGTTGAACTTAATGCTTCCATATTCATCCTAATAATAATATTTTCCATAGAATTACATCAATTAACATTTTTCATATTTATAAGTATAATGTACCTGTTGTTCTACCATCACGTTTTCAAACGGCTGATTAATCGAACTTTCTGTATCTTTTTCATGTCTTTGATCATTCTCTGTTGCGCCAGCCACGTCTCTGTGATTGTGATTTTCAGTTCCCAGATTAATGTTGCTTTTCACAACAGTAAAATCTTCCGATTTTGATGACTTTTTGAGTTTAAGTTTCAGAGGATCGTTGAAATTCTGTTTTTTTAACGTTAATTTCAAAGAACCCTTCTTTTCTGGGTCTAGCCAATATGTATTGCTATTCTTTTTCTTGACACTTTTCAAAGTAACCCTTCTTAAAACTATACGTGGTCTTCCTAAATGTGTATGAATGTGAGTACGTAATTGCTTTTTTGTTACAAATTGTTTTTTACAGACTTCACAGTTAAATAATGGAAATCGTAAGGAAAATATCGTACTTTGATTGTCTATGTGTTTATCTGAAAAAAGAAAACCCCAATAATTACAATACACTCATATAATAATTTTCTAATTACATCTGTCAATCGCATTACTTTACGAAAAACGTTGTACTTGAAGACGAATATCTAAAAAAACAAAACTGGATGTGTCCAATCACCTTTTTAATTAAAAGACTGAGAAAAGTAAGGATTAAATAATTTGCCGCGCTTTCATAGCTACTATCAAATCCGCTAAACTGATATAATTTCCCGTTGGATATGTCTGAGAACTATACGTCGATTATATTCAAACATGTTTATTTCAAAGGTTCACTCACTATCATCAATGCACATTCCCCGTGTTACAACGGATGTAAACAATCGATGCCGATGTATATGCAGCAACAGCAAGTGTTCACGCAAAATGGTTGCAACAGCAGACCACCTAACGCAAGCGAGATAATTGCCTCAGCTTTTGCCGAGAATTGAAAACGGGATTCTCCAATCGATACTAGCTAAAGAACGAACACCATTGGTTCACTTCATATTAGCGCAACGTTCCCGCCGCGATATACATCGTATCAAAACGCATTTCATTTGATACCATTGCGGACATACATAAATTGCTTTTTACCGGTCTTAAATAGTTATAGCAATTTACGATAATGTTACTTATTAAAGTACATATATAATCAATGGGATATTTTCAATTATACAAACGGGCTAAAAAGGTAATAAAATTACGTTTTACAAATGTTATCATCATAACTCTAGTTAAGGAAAGGATATCAGTTTGTGATTTATTGCAATTAAATAAAAAAATGTAAATTATACCAAATAATTTTGTTAACGGAACATCAATAACAAATGACAAAAACCTCCAAATTTATCCAATTATTATGCAGCACTAACAGAATCCTAACCTCTCTTCAAGAGTTTAGAATACAAATTTTCATTAATACCATTTACTTATAAAGTATAAATCCATAAAATTTGCTCAAAGTACACTTTAAAGTAAAAAAAAAGTTTTATTAAATAAAAAACATAGTATTTTTATCCACATTTTTATAACAATGTTAAGATTTGGCTAGAGAAATTTTGCAAAATAGGTTTGCAAAGACAACCATAAATTAGTAACACAGTATTAGAAACATTAATCTTTTATAGCAATATCTTAAGTGAAATATATTGCTTTCTGCAAAAAAAGTGCATCTAATAGAATGAGGATATTCCACTAAAATGTTAATTTTCAAGAAAGTAATCTATAGAAACTAACCTACGTTTAATACTATTTCTTGTGTATATTACATTTATGTATATCATTTGTTTTATTTTCACTCAATATTTTAGAAAAAACATACCAAATTTTTGCAAATCATCCACTGCATCGTCTTTACAAATTTTGTTTTGGTCTGAAAATCTAAATTCCTCAAAGTCTTGATCCAATGAATTGCTCATTTCCACTCTGTAAATTAATCATTTATTTTCTCTATTATTGTATAGTATAATCGTTATTAAAGTTTTTTTAATAACAACATTACAATTATGGTTGATTATTATTGTATATCATACTTACAGGCATTGTTATTAACAACACAAATTGTCATGAAGTCATTAACAATGATCAATCTTGATTTAGATAATTATTTACTGGCAACTAAATACGTCGATAATATTTATAAATCAATAAAATCCACATATTCTAATTTGCAGTAATAAACAGTTCACAGAATTCTTAATCACTGAGAAAATTAATCAGATTGTCATAAAAATGATTCCTACCAAAATTTATTTTTATTTAAACTTATTGAGAGATGTTCGTTAATGTTTATGATTATATTTGAAGATATAAATGGTAATAAAGTCAATTCAACACGAGATAAACTTTCAACGTGTGTCAAATAAGTATTTTGTTAACTAAATATATATGTATACATATATAAGTAGAAAGTATTATATTTGCTTTTAATTAATGACAACCGACCCGGCGTCGATATTACATGTATCGTTTCAAAAGAAGAAATGAAATCACGATTTATTCAATGTATATAATTAAGTGGAGAAAAAACACGTAGTTCCATTTATGTTTAGACGATGAAGTTTTTATCCGATTTGTTACATATAGTTAAGTATGACGGCCAATATTATGACTATGACATGATCACTGCGCTGTTTATGGCACATTTGTAGTAGCGACATTCAACGACGATAAAATCGGCGCGTCAACTACGATGCCTACCGTAACCAATCTGAACTTATTATTAGTACGTGTTATATCGAGCCGCCAATATGGCGGCG